TGCTGAATATCAATTTTCCCAGCCCCAACCCTATCCCCAGTTCTCCGAGACTTTTGGAATMGCGCTCCAACTCTGAACAGTCTGAAGTTTAGCGTTCATACATATATTTCTATAAGTTGTTTAAATAGATACATTTCTTKTTCTGTTATTCATTCTCCGCTGGAATCGWAACTTTCTCTACGTTGACTGGTAATCAGCATGTCCGTTATCTTGGAAGGTATTTTGGTAAAACCATTTTTCATTATCCTCTCAGAGGMCAGCATTGTTGGTGAGCCCTCGACAACGAAATTATAGTTGGCATCATGGTCATTCTCCTGAAACATGTGGCAGACAGAAATTTTCCTACTCCTCCTTTGACTTCCGTGTATAGGAACCAAATCATTCTGTACATCTTTTTGTTCCTCGGCATTTATTTCGTTTTCTAGTTTAGCWGGGTAAACCGAAGCGATATCGCCATTTATTTCGTTTTCTWGTTTAGCAGGGTAAACTGAAACGATATTGCCATCGCCATCGTCATYAAGTGATTGTTCTTCAGAGATTTTGTCATTAGAATTGCTATCTTGAGATTGTTCGGAGTTATCTTTAGTTTCTTTCAGATTTGTATCATTTAGATATTCAATACTATTCCGTACATTGGAATTTAGATTTTTTTCCGATTTGCTAGTCTCAATAAGCTCTTGACCCTCGCTTAAATGTCGCAARCTGCCTAGAGAAATAGACGTTCGCCTGCTGCTAGACAGCGAATTTAAAGTTTCAGTAAAAAGTGCGATGGCAGTTTTCCTTCTAGGCCTTGTGCGGCGCATTTGTASGTCATCATCATCACTGACGTCATGATGAGAGAAATTAGATTCTATTTCGTCATCACTATGTTCATCACTATCGAATAAAGGYTCAGTGGCTTCTCTAGTAATCCCGTGATCCTCCTCTATCTTTCCCAATGACGTCTGCTGTCCAACCTTTGGAGTGTATTGATTGTTTCTGTACATAATTGCCGGAAGTGACCTTCTGGCTAATCGCGCTTGAAGCCTTTTATCATCGCTCGAAGCGGGACTACTGGTCAAGGGCTCTGAGTTAATCCTWGTACTGATTTTATAACGCAGTTGCAGTGGATCGTAGTGATCCACACTTAATCTTCTTACTATTGAGTCCTTAGGTGTAATTATCCCTATGGAAATAGAGTTTTTAGGTTGCATAGGAATATTCTTTTCTGGCCTCCATAWGATAATATATAGTTTTGGGACAAATATACACCCAAGTGCTGCMGAACCTCCGATTATGAATACAAAACAAATGATGACAGTTCGGTAGACACCACTCGTACCAAAGTACGTCGGAATAAACATGATTACCACAATACAGGTTGTCAACATCGTGAAAGTGATGAACTTGGCTTCGTTGTAATTTTCTGGTAGCTTTCTTGTCAGGAAGGCTTGATGAGTGCATGTTGCAACTAGGCCTACAACGTATGCCCACCAAATAGCAACCCAAATGTCAGGCATTGGTTTACACTTAATAATCACTTCGTTTCTAGACTCGAAGGTAACAATAGTTCTACCGGTGTCACTGGAGAAGATATATATGGTACAAATGATGATTTCTGTTAAGGTTATAAACACAACTAAAAGGACCTGCCACTTTTTGGAAAGACACGCAGGTGTGCCAGCTTTATCAAGTTTCCTGTTGAAAATTCTCGAAACTCGATTAGTCTTAGTTAGAAGTGTTCCAACGACCAAAGATGGGCATAATCCTGTAGCAAATGGTATAATTCGACAAATTTCATCCGTAGGCTCCAAGAGATACAGCACAGGTGTGGCATAGCACCAGAAGATTCCAAGTAGTAATAGATAACAAAGTTCTCTGCTTGAGGCCTTGACCACTGCCGTATCGCGGTACAAGAAAAACACTAAAAATGTCCCAATAACAGACAATATTCCAATACCAATGGTTACCAGAATTACTAGCGCAGGTGCATCTGTCATTTTAATCAGCTTTGGCAGAATTCGTTCACATTTTGAATTCAGCGAATTAGGCCAAAATCCCCTTGCACACGGTGTACATTCATCACTGTTTGTTAAATTTGCGATTGAATTTCGAGTGCATTTTCTACATGTCCAGCAGCATTTTGCATAGTTTTTTTCGGTAATTTTGTGATGTCCCTTCGAACAAGTCGGGCTACAGCGTGAGAAAGGGATTTCATTTTCGGATAGGTTTCGCCTCGTTAGCCTATTGTCAAGAAGATTTTGATGGAGCTTCAAGCAATTTGATGATGATACATTGACCAAGTCAAATACACAGTCTTCTGTCCCCCATTGCCCAACGTTGAAGTACTCATAATTTTTTCCTACACGTTTTAAATGTTTTATATCATAAATTCCTATTGTATCATGGGCTTCATCGAAGGACATGTAGCGACGAGACATGGCAGGGAAGCGAACCTTTTTCAGATATGTCATAAAGTTTTTCCGAAAGTTTGGTGCTGAAAGTTTGTACATCATCGGACGACAATTCCTGTATGGTGTACAACCCAACATATCGTGAAGAGCGTATGCAGTAGTCAGTACAGCATCCATAACGTAAGGGGCTTTAGGGTAAGGGATGAACGTTTGCCGGTGAAATGCAGGATCATGAGCAACTTTGATATCTTCATATTCCTCAGTCCATGGGTTTCGCAACCTTCTCTTTTCATTGAAGTCAACAAAGTATTGAACAAACTCCTTGTTTTTTCGTACTTCAGGTACGATTGCRAACATTCTATTTAATATCGCTTCATTTGATTTCAGAATGTCTTCGGAGTCTGCCCAGGCATCTGACCCTATCCAGATGTATTTTGTTTCCATCTTTCGCTCCCGGATTTTATCAAATAAAATTTGTGCATCGTGAAGTTCCGCAAAGAGGATAATTACTTTGGCTCTCGGATGAGCCATCAACTTTTTAAAAATGCTATCAAAMGTCTTTGCGTTTGACATTTTTGTGAAAGTTTCATCTACAGGAATACAGATATGATAGTCGTGCAATCTTTGAGCAGCGTCTTTGAAAGCATCGATTCCTGATCGTCCATATTCAGTGTCTGAAGCCAAAGTAACAACATAGTTCCAGTCCATTGCCCTCACCAGGTCTACCATAACTTGTGCTTGTAACATATCGCTTGGCACTGTTCTGAAGAAATACCGAAACTGCGCCTTGTTGCTTAACAGGCGACTTGTGGATGCGTAGCTGACAAGCGGGACGTAGAACAACCCACATAAGTTTGTTACTGCCATGGAAACGCCACTATATGCCGCTCCAACTACAGCTACAGTTTTTGTTTTTCGAACCTTGTTGTCTTTCTCACCAGAACACTGTTCTTGCATATTTTCGTTTTGAATAAAGGAGAACTTTAACGATTCTCGGATAGCATTGTCTGCCGTTGTACAAGTTTCCTTAATGTCCATTCCGATGGTTATGTTTGGAAGTACAGAGTCTTTCAAATGGCCGTGGTTTAGCATATCCATTGTGAATAGCATCGCTTCAACTGCTTCATAGCCTCTTGTATTCAGTTCACCTTGGCAAGACGAATCATCTGGATCTATCGTTGATTCGTCTATTGGAGAAAAATGGACTGGCGAAAGACCACCTATTATAACATCGCCATCGGTAAACACATGTGCATCCTTTTTTTTCTTATTTCTGCCAACACACTTTGTGAACACACTGAACAGGCAGAAAACTATAAGCCATGTTCTTTTCATCTTTGAAGCGGTCAGTCTTGACAGGTTCTTGGAAGCAATAGCTCACACAATCAATTAAGTTTGTTTGACTTTTCCATTCTCAACAACCTGTAAACAAAACATAGGATATTGTATTATAAACCATCGAAACTGCATCATCACGTTGTATGGTGTGAGAGATATAATACCTCGATTATATAGAGTCATTGAATATTCCTAAGCAATCTAATTAGCAGGCCAATAATCAATCGTTAAATCTCGTTGTTTTGTCTTTCTATTCCCGAAGGGAAAAAATGTAATCTACCACCGCACTATTAATGTCAAAGACAAAGGATATTATATCTTTAAGATGTATGTTGTGTCATGAAAGACCAGTGTATAATTAGCACTTAAAAACTTGGATCGTCTTTAACTCCCTATAAACATACAAATGGAAACGAAACATTGTCTGTACGACCGACTAAGACAATGGAACTAAAAATAGGAAACTATAGTCAACAACATAACTATGATTTACACGAAGCTTTAAGACAAGGTTACCATATAAGTATTAACATATATAGTAATTCCGATTCTGAGTCGAGAAGGCGAGCTCGGTGGCATTAGTAAATATGCAAAAAGAGAATTTAAAACATAGAATGAAAAATATATTATAATGCATTATATTATACGTTACTATTATAAGATCATATACAGCCTTTTGCACAAATTATGAGACATTTTTATATATATAAATATACAGCCTTTTGCACAAATTATGAGACATTTTTATATATATAAATATACCTAACCAAATATCAAAAACATCCCAGAAATTATGGTATATCTCTATTATATTTTGTCATGATTGCCTAGCATCAGGTTGTTACAGACAAAATATCAGCGACGGTATCCCATATCACACTAGAGTTATGTTAAACTGAAGGTTTTTTTTGACATCGACATTGGTCTATAAAACATACAAATAGAAACGAGGCATTGTCTCTATTGCCGACAAGGACAATGGAACAAACATTACTAACTAAAAATAGTAAAGTAGTCAAGAACATAACTAGTAAACAACATAACTATGACTTACACGAAGCTTCCATGAAATAATGATTAATGTTGCTGTTTCAGTTCATTAATCTACCACTAATTTTATATATTTATCTCGCTTTTGTATGTCTTCCTTATAATTTGTAGCTTGATTATCGTTGTTGTTTTTTTTGACTGGCTAATTTCCGTATTTTAACTCACAAATCTAATATTGTAATATGAAAGTGAACGTGTAATGTTTTTGCTGTTGAGAAAATCATGTCAAAACTAAAATTCAAAATACTAAGTAAGAGGCAATGACGCTCAGAATAGCTTTTTTGTCTTTAGTTAATCCCCATAATACACCCTGTGTTTGGATTTTGGTTTATTTTTAGATTTCATGATCTGGGTGATTTGTATAATAACTGAATCTTTTGTCTTTAGAACAAACAAATTTATCTGGAAAAGCCTTAAAATAAGTTGTCTTCTCTTTTTAAATTAATCTGGTTGGAGTTGTTTGAGCAGGGAGAGAAAATACAGGACATTAGTCAAGACCGCTTTACTGGCAAGGGTACACGTAAATAACAAAAACCGACTTATAGTTCTAAATATGGGAAAGCCTTCACATAATYAAAAAGCCCCCAAAACAACTTCCATTTTTATTTCACCGATACACTTTTTTAAGGAAATAAGCTGTTCTATATTTATACCGGTTTATACTCCTTAATATAACCTTGCCGGAATTCGTGACTCGGGAGTCGAGATGAGTTTAAATAGTTTATTTAGTAACTAAGGATCTCACTAGTGAAAAAAAAAAAAAAAAAAAAAAGAAAAAGAAAAGAAAACAACAATAACAATAACAACAACAACGACAGGAGGTTAATAAGATTTTCGTATGAACTTAACGATATCTATTAATATTCAAAAGAGAATTCAAATGAAAAACAAAAAAACAAAAACAAAACAAAACAAAACAAAAAAAACGGCGTTTAACCCAGGCTTATCCTCGGTTCACTTAGAGGACCTGCAAAGCGCTGGAGCAATAGAATGTCTTACACCAAAGAGGCGTTACGGACCTGCAAAAATGTCACATATCTATAATGAATTTAAGCTACCGCTTAACGGCTTAAAATATGAAATCATGTATTTTTAATAGATCAATTTCACGATAAAAAAAGCAACAAAAAACGTCCTTGACCTCTCAAAGGAAATCCGCTCTGTACAGTGGCACTGGATACTTAGCAAGTCACAAGAAAACGAGTAAGGGTCGAAAGGTAACACAATTTTGTTATTTGAAATTATCATATTTTCTGACAACTCGTTTGTATATTTTCTTTATCATTATGTTCTTTTTTRTGTTCAATACAGTTTTACAGAGATTTTATTTTTTTCTTTACTTTAGAGTCACAGAGTTTTTCCAATTTGCAGTTTAATCCAATTCAACTATTAATTTTCTCGCCTTTTAAAGCAAGAGTTCCATTTTTAACAATTTCATGTATTTCACATTCTTATTGTACTAGAAAAAATTTTCTCCCGAGTTCATATCATCTATTTTTGCTTTTTGTAATCTATGTTTTTTTAATTGTAATATTACTACAAGCATTTTGCTTGTTCTGGTATCAGTCTTTTAAGCCATTTTTCAATTCTGTTTAATTCTTCTATTGTTATGACTATCTTAAATTCTGTCAAAACAATTATTTTGATTTAAATTTTTTTGATCACGCTAATTGGATGTCAATATAATTTCGCGAGGCGGCGAAGAGGATCTGATACGTATCTTTGAAGACAAAAAAAAGAAAAAAAAAAAAAAACTAAGCAAAAAAAAAACAAAAAAAAAWTGGTTATGCCTMACAAAAMCACACTTTATTTTATGCCAGATACATTAGTTATCAAATAAGTATATCTTTCCTTTTATACAAAGTTAGAACCAAAACCTCAAGAACAGAAGAAATGACGAAGAGTTTATCATATCAATTGGTCTCTGTACAAAACAAAACGCCAAAATTAACACGCCAAAAATTTCCATGTTTTTTTTCATCGAAAAGGCTAGCATTTCTATATTGCTTTATGACAGAGCGCTATAAACGATCCAAAGTTTCAATATCGCCTACAGCAAAAGGAAGTTAAATGTAAATATCTCAATGCATGCCGAGTAACCTTAGAATTCTTAGGAAGRAGCATTGAATAGATTTGGTTTGTGTTTATGACCACTCTCCCAAATATCTGAATCAAAAAAAGAACCTGTTTTGAGAAGCCATCGCCGCCATGTTGAACGAGTCAATAGAAGAAATGTCATTGGTCTTCATCCAATATGGCGCGCGGCTAAARGGCGACTTAATATTTCTATTACTGCTTATTCTTCGTACTTACATCTCTGTGAAAGATTGTCCCGTAGAAGAAAGAGAATCGGTTTAGTCAGGCTTTGARACTGTCACAAGAATATCAAATATCAAGTACTGAACTCACAATAAAGTGCGAAAAGTATTCAATTTCCAATGTTACCCTTTGCCAAAATGGCCGCCGCTTATTAGCATAGTTTGTTTTATGTAACAGGCAAAATGACCTCTGAAATAACAAAGAATACCCCTCACTCTAAAGCTATGTAAAAAKTCATTAAATACTTTAATATTTGTATATATATGTAAAAAAAAACAACAACAAACAAGAAATAATTTGAGCTGAAATTTTAACAATAAGAACGTTTTACTAGAAATAAAGGTCTAGCAGGATTTTTTTTTCAATAGAAAAGGAATTCMAGTTTTAACCACGCTAGAAATAACATGTATTTGATAATTAATCACTCAATTCCGGCATTTTTCAATTTTTTTTGARAGCCAAAAACCGGTCATGTACGCCGGAGTTAAGTTTTTCCATGAAAATTTAATGCGAACACAGTAGAACGGCAACAAGTGTTTTAACGCCTCTGGTCACTTCRCGGGTCAATTCCACACAATTTGAATACCATGAATAAATAAACAGCAACGAGCCAGCTTGCATGCGTGTTCGCATTGAATTAATGGTAATCGCGTGAAGTGTTTTTAAAATCATCGCAATATATTTCTTTTCAGCTCTCGCCTGAGTAAAATTTTCAGAGTAATCCGGATAATAACTGACTTCAACAGGTGTTTTTCAGTTAAAAACGGTATAAAAATAAAAATAAAAGAATTCATGCAGGCACCAGAATGAGAGATTTAAGTTAGGATAGAGTGAAATATCGCTTTCCATTCTTAGCGTAATTGCTAATACCTCTCTGAATACATTTTACTTATTTATTATATAAGAAAAACGTGCCCTAAAACTTTCTACTTTTCATTTTTCATAGTAAAATACAACCAATTATCCATTATGAACGGCGTCAAAACTCTTGTTCTCCTATTGGCCTTGGTTCTAGATGCAATGCTTGAAGTGCATGCCGGGAACACCGCTTATTCCAAAGACATCAACCAGTGCCTGTTCAGTCATTGGCCATCCGGCACAAACGCTGTTCTGAAGAGCACAGTCTCCTGCGCAGGCGAACAGTTGTGTTATTCGGTCAGCGGATCTGATCCTGCTTCGTTTGCCGTGTGTTATAACACAGCGACTCGGATACCTGAGTTCGCAGCTAGCGTTGTGAAAGCTAATATTGCGAGTGGAGGAGGAAGGTCTAATAATTGGCATAACGAAGATGGCGCTAATGGTAATGCACCATCCCGTCCCCAGGGTCTCTTGGCTCACCCGTCCTTTTTTTTCTGAAAAATTGAGTCGACAGTTTTACGAGTAGAGAAGGCCCTAGGGACGAGGTTGGATRTAATGCAATTTGTYTGCACTCACTCAATCATCTTTGACCGTTTATTCTATGTTTATCCCCTTCACGTCAAGATCAGTAGAGCTATTTTCAAAAAAATATATATATGYTCATATTTTACGGATGATGCCTTGATTGTGTAACATGAAGCTATCGAGAATATAGTTTAACAAACTATGCGATCATAGATAGTTATTCTAATGTTCTTCATTAATACAGCCCCAGCTACACAATCAACAGTCCAGGACTACCTCTGCACATCACAAAGCGGTCTATATCCAAACTTCGACATTCAAAAGCAGCAAATATGCTCGCGAGGCCATCTTGTTGCAAATGCCGACTTCTCTGCCGCTGACGAGAAAGAACTCACCTTTATAAACACGAACATAGCCCCTCAATGGCAACCTTTCAATGSTGGAAACTGGGCAGCTGTTGAAGATGCAGTCAGACGTTATGCTACTAGTGTGAGCAGAGACGTGTACGTCTTCACTGGAACAGGTATAAAGCCCTCGGCTGTGAATATAGAWTAACGAGAAGGGGTTGATGTGATAGACTCTTCCACGTCTATATTACGGAGCAGGAGACTGTGGAAGAGTCCGAAGGGACGTCGGCTTAAATGCTCAAACGCTTCCAAAAAATATCGCACGCACTCACGT